AATAGAATAGAATAGAATAGAATAGAATAGAATGTCAGAGTTGGAAGGGACCTTGGAGGCCTTCTAGTCCAGCCCCCTGCTCAAGCAGGAGAACCTATACCATCTCATATTGCAATAACCGAAAGTGATGCAAAAATCTGCAAAGCGTTATTTAACAATTATAGAGGCAATAATGTGGAGCTGATGATTTGGCCCCAAGTTCATTCTTTCTGAAAGAACTACGTCAGGAAACAAAACATAGCAATTTAAGAGTCACTAAACTAGTTGCTTGCAAAGCCGGCAAGGGAAGGCATAACGAAGAACGGAAGAGAAAGCATTTAACATATATTATGCTAATAAAGAAAATAACTACCGTGTATACAATCTGATCTTAAAAGCATACGTTAATTACCTCCCCACGTACAGGAACTGTTGCAGATGTTAGAACTGTTACCTCCTCTTAAGATTAAAAGCATTCTTAAGAAAAGTTTAGGTAACAGGTCTAACTTTTGCAACAAACAAATACAAGTCTGTTTCAAAGGGCTGATGAAAAAAACTACCGGTCAGGCAGGCCTCAGTGTACTTCCATTCTTTTAGCAACCGTTCCAATTTACAACGGCACTGGTCTTCACCTTTATGACCGTTGCAGCATCCCCAGAATCACGTGATTAAAAGCTTGGCAACTGGCATATGCAACGTCCAGAGGTCATGGGATGGCCATTTGTGACCTAGGCATGCTTTTTTGACCGCCCCTTAAACCAAGGTTTGATGTACAGATAGCCCTTGACTTACGATCACAGCTGGGACCAGAATTTCTGTTGCTAAGCAACGCAATTGTTAAGTGAGGCACATCTGATTTTATGACCTTTTTTGGTCACAGTTGTTAACAAATCACTGCAGTTGTTCATGGTCCTTAAGTGGATCCGGCTCCCCCCCCCCAATTGACTGTGTCTGTTGGAAGCTGGCTGGGAAGGTCACACATGGCAAAAACGTGATGTCAAGAGACTGCAACCATTGGATATACGTACCAATTGCCCAATGCCCAAATTTTGATCGGGGTCACCATGAGCCCCATGCTGTGACGGTTGTAAGTGTGAGGACTGTTCATAATTCACCTTTAGCCATGCCCTTGTACCTTTGAACGGTTGCTAAACCAACGATTGTAAGTCAAGGGCTAGCTGTACGAAATTTGATTTTTCGAAGAAGTGGGCTTAAATCCTTGCTGCCTTCCATTTGCCCAAATCCAGCGGTTGTGAATTAGATGCCGAGCTTACTGTCATTGTGGCATTCGGCGTGGCTAAAACCAGTCTCCCGGCTCGAACAGACGCACTCTTCGGCATGGTGCAGCCTGGCGACTTCCTCGTCATAGTAACTCATCAGCTCTGGAGTTGGTGGACCATCAACCGGACTTCCCAGGCAAGGTGGAGCCTGCCAGAAGGAGATAAAGCAGACAGGTGATTCGACCTGGTTACCTGGGACAGGTAAGCTTCTAACGAGAATGGATGAACAGAATATAGATATCAAGCCACATCTGGGATAGATGCATCGCAGCAGGGTTTTTCTCTCTTTCTTTTTTTCCAGGTTTTAGGTTAGAAAAACTGAGTCCATTGAGTGAAGAGAGAGGGAGGGAGGGAGGGAGGGAGGGAGAGAGAGAGAGAGAGAGAAAGAAAGAAAGAAAGAAAGAAAGAAAGAAAGAAAGAAAGAAAGAAAGAAAGAAAGAAAGAAAGAAAGAAAGAAAGAAAGAAAGAAAGGAGAGGTGTAATTTTGGTTCTTGAAGCTCCAGATTCCACTGACCTTCACGGCTGGCCCCAACTTCTCTTTAAGTTGGAAAAAAAAGTCCAACAAAATAAAAGCCCAAAGGTTTTAGGTTAGAAAAACCGAGTCCATTGAGTGAAAGAGAGAGAGAGAGAGAGAGAGAGAGAGAGAGAGAGAGAGAGAGAGAGAGAGAGAGGTATAATTTTGTTTCTTGAAGCTCCAGATTCCACTGACCGTATCAGAAACCAGTTTTAAACCAGGCTTGGCATACCAAGGATGCTAATAGGGAGGACGAAATAGTTCAGCCACTGCAGGGAGAAAGACTTTAGAAGGGATCGTATGCAGGGTGTGTGGCCTGGATATTGAACTGTGGGAAATGGGGTTAACTCTGATGATGTTTCAGCAAAAAACAAATTTGATTTTCCCGTCCCACTTTTCTGTTCTTTAGCGGCCTTCTCTTCCAGTGACAGAAAAAGTTTGCTTACACCAGGACTCCTCAACTGGGGCCAGAATTTCCATCTCTAAACAAGGTGGCTGCTAAATGGGATGTGCTCAATGTTATGATCTCTTTACCATGGTTGTTAACTCTGTGCCAAAAACGTCTAATTATCTCCCGGTGACTCAAATTCTTCTGCAAATAATCTCTCTTTAAGATGAAGATTATTATCAGTGGCGTAGAATAGCAGCAGACATTACTGAGATGCTTGATGCTCATTTAAGTCCCAGTCATTCATTCACCGATGTTTAAATCCATCTGGGTGAAAATATAATTATTCTCTCTCTGTTTCTGTCTGTCCATCCATATTGGAATAAGTGACCAAACCCGTGAACAATCTATGAATATTTAGACGGAAAAAAGTTCCACTGTATTTCAGGGGCTGAAATAAGAGCAATTTGGGAGATCGTAAAACAGTTTTTCTCAACCGTAGTTTGTTTTAAGATGTGTGGATTTCAACTTCTATGAGTAGCTGAATAATTCTGGAAGCCCACACATCTTTGTGCTTGCTGGCTGGAGAATTCTGTATGCAGCGAAATTTCATTTTGATGTATGCCGATTGGTGTACATTCAAAGTGACAATAAAGTAGTAGTAGTAGTAGTAGTAGTAGTAGTAGTAGTAGTAGTAGTAGTTGTTATTATTATTCTGGGAGCTGAAGTCCACCCATCTGAAAGAACATGGCTGGGGAATTATGCAAGCTCAAGTCCACACATCTCAAAGTGCCCAAGGTTGAGAAACACTGATCTAGATTAAGGTTATTATGCAAACAGATCAAGAGTATTAATCCTTGAACTCTACTTTACAAATCCCAGGGGGGTGGGTCACCCAATTTGCAAATGCAGTGTTGGCAATAGGCCACCCATGAATGTCAGGGGTTCTTTCGCTGAACGTCTGCAGAACACCAGTATTAAATATTTCCCTTTTCTTCCAGGAAATACATTGGATAAAACCCTGCAAGAGATTTTGCTTAGCTTGGTTGCTTTTTTCACCTTTACTTTTGCTCCAAATGCTTCTGCAGTGCCTTGAGGGGGGGGGGGTAGAGAAGAGAAGCATGCTGGCTGAGGAATTCTGGGAGTTGAAGTCCACCCAGCTTAAATTGGCCCAGGTTGAGAAACATTGCTGTAAGACATTCCTCCCAATTAGTTAAGGAGATTAAATCAAGAAGGGCTACGTTGGTGGCTACCCTTAGCTTGAAGCCCTATCGATCTGATCCAGAAGTTCTCTACCTTTGCTCATGTGCTACTCGGAGGAGGAGAGCATCTGTTGTAAAATGAGGGCAATAGGCAGCTCCTCGTCATGTCAGTGGGTGAAGATCTAATTGCCAGTCTAAAGTGTCAGGTAAACAAAATCTTCAAAGGATGACCTCGAACCCAGCTCAGTGACTAAGCCTGCAGGGGTGGCGTTGGAGAAGGCTCGCCGTGTGATCCCAACCAAACCGTGATCAGATCTTCCGGGGATTGATTAAAAGAGGCATTTCCTGTATTACCTCTTCCTCCTCCAGCCTCGAAAACAGCTGGATTTACTAATCAACCACACATCACGGTTGAGTCCTTTGAGTTACGAGCCCAGCCGAGCCCCAAAACGGAGGTGGCGAAGTGAAACATTTCTTAAGTTGAGTTGTGCCCCCCCTTCACGATTTTTCTTGCCACCGTCGTTAAGTAAATCACTGCAGTTGTTAGGAACCCCGTTGTTGAGTGGATCCGGCTTCCCCAATGCCTTTGCTGGTCAGAAGGTCGCCCAAGGGGATCACGTGACCCTGGGACGCTGCAACCGTCACAAGTACATGCCAGTTGCCAAGCATCGGAATTTTGATCACGTGACTCATGCGGAGGCTGCAAGGGTCGTAACGGTGAACAACCGTCATGCCTTGCTTTTTTTCAGCGCCGTTGTAACTATGAACGGTCACTAAAGGAACTGTTGTAAGTCGAGGACTACCTGTAAAAGCATAGCAACCTGGGTATCTTTGAATGCTTGACTGCCGGGATCTCTGTTTTTCAGACAGGCCCCACAGAGCCTTTGAACCTTCGCCAGGAGTTGCCAACCACTGCCAAAGCTTTGATCACGGCACGATCGTGGCTGCTGCATCTGGATTTTCTTTCTTTAACCAACCCCCTGACACTACCACCACCCCGGCAGCTGCAGAAGAAGCAGAGACCCAACAGGTGAAGCTACTCCAGCCTTCCACTTTTAACTTGGGGAAATGTCGCTTGCTGAATGGATATTTTTTGCCAAGGGATTAGGAGGTGATGAGCAGAATGTGTTTTTCAGAGCCAGCTCTCTTCCTGTCTCTTCACCTGTACTAAAGAAGGGAAGGAATCTCACTATAAATAGCCCCAAATATGTAAATATTTCCAAGCAGGGAGTTGGTTCAATGCCTTGGCTATTTTTGATTCCCTACCTTGCGTCTTTTTTTTTTGTCTGTCTCTCTCTCTCAGCCAGAACAATGTGGCTTTGTAGTTGCTTGGCATACATCTTGATAATTTCAATTTTGGCTTCCTTCTTTGATGCTACGAACCCTGTTGACTAAGCCTTCAGATCTCTTACTCACAGTTTATGACATAAACCACACTACCAAGCGGCGTTGCACAATTTGTGACGTTTCTCTCTCACTAAGGCTGTGTGGTCATAAAACTCTAGTTGGTTACCTAGGGTTAATGTCACCTAGTTTGGGGCATGAAGCTCAGAGGGTCCCCAACGACCCTCAGTTCAACGCTGAGATACAAATATTCTCCTTTATTGGTCCTATAATCCTCCAAGCCAAATCTAAGAGTTTCACATTCTAGCAAAATGTGTGAATCAACTTTCTATCAGCTTATTCTTTCCCATATTTCAAAATTCCTGACTTGTGATAGTAATAGCAAAGGAACGACACCCATATCTTTCCTTTTAATATTAGTGTTTCTTAAGCTGATCTTTCACATCCATACAAGCTTGGCTGTTTTGGAGGACAAAAAAATAATAATAAATTCTCGTGGACGGCTTCCTTTCAAAAGTTGGAAAGTTTGTGACCATTTTCCCGAGATTCCCATTCTTAGATAATGGCTAAATATTGACCATCTTCAGCTCGTTTTTACGTATGATTAAGCCTGGCTTTCCAAGAATGAAACAAACAGACCATACATATCCCCTCTAGAGAGATTCTACTTTGACATTTTTCATCTACTAATACAAGTAATCCTTGACTTACGACCACTATTATCTGCTGCTAAGTGAGACAGAGGTTAAGTGAGTTTTAAGCCATTTTACAACCTTGCTTGCCACAGTTGTTAACTGAATCACTGCAGTTGTTCATTTAGTAATACGGTTGTAATTGACTTGGGGATCACGTGACCCCGGGACGCTGCGTCCGTCATAACTGTGAGTCGATTGCCAAGCGTCTTGAGTTTCGATCCTAGGGATGCTGCCGTGGTTGTAAGTGTGAATACCGGTCATAAAAGGTCACACTTTCTTCAGTGCCATTGTAACTTTGAGCGATCACTAAACAGGCTGTCGTAAGCCGAGGACTCCCCCGTACGTGAAGGAACAGCCTTGGGCGACTCATTGAATCAACCTGATAGGGATCTTGTTAACAAAAAAAATTATACAGCACTTTCCCCCCGTTTCATCAATTAACATCCAAGAGAGATAGAAGAGAAGGTCTAAATAGGGCTGGTGCCAGGATGGTCAGAAGCCCCATGGCTGGGAATTATGGGAGTTGAGGTCCAGCACACCCACAAGTTGAAGAAAGTTCTTGGGTCCTGCGGTGTGTTTGTACCGCCTTTTTATAACAGGTGAGGAGGAAGAAATAAGAATATTGGGAGCTTAGTCACCCCAAACATCAACCCCCACATCAGTATCCTTCCGGGGGGGGGGGAGAGAATTGGGGGTCAGGAGGGAGACCCTGTCATTTTAGCAATCTCCTCCTTTCCACCAGTCAGCACAAGCCCCTTGCCCTGTCTGAGGTCTGACCCATTTCTCCATCATCGCCTTCAACGGAAAAGATACTCACCCCAGATCACATAAGTTGCTTGGAGAAGACAACCAAGTCCTCAAGCTCTAAAGATCTCCTTTCTTCTCTACCCTACGGGTACCCAAAGTGTCAAATTGGACGAGCTGGAGGGATTTTTTTACAGCTCTTGGCAAGGCACCGGTCCTCAAGATTCCTCTCCTTGCCTGCAGAACGTCTTGGATGCGTTCCTCCTCCAGAGGACTTTCCAGGACAAAGATTGCAGCAGCTCCTTAAATCTCCCTCAACCTGTTTTTGGGCCCAGATTGTGAAAGGCAGCAAGGAGGGGTGCGAAGATGTGCGGGCGGCTTTCGCCATTCACACCTCCACCTCGACACAGGAGAAGCACGCGGGCCAGACTGCGGGAAGCAAACCTAACCAAACCCTGGAATTATTTTGAACGTGGGTGTCCTCTTTTTTTTTTCTTCCTTTCCTTGATGTTCAAGTTCATTTCTTCCCATTCAGCTTTGGATGGTCCAGGTTGTGCCAAAAAGATTGAACAAGGTACAGGAACATGAGAATGCCGGCATTAATCACTCAAAGAGTGAGGGTGACCTTATCCATTCGGTCACGTCAGACTCTCGCTGGTTCTATGGGCCGGATGTTAAGTGAGTAATGGGGTAAAGTTGTGGGCTTCCCCCATTGACTTTTCTTGTCAGGGGGTTGCAAGAAAGGATCACGTGACCCCGGGACCCTCGTAGATATGAGCCGTTTGCCAAGCGTCCGAGAATTGATCACGTGCCCCTGGGGAGGCTACAACGGTCGTAAGTGTGAGAAACGGTCCTAAGTCACTTTTTTTCAGTGCTGTTGCAACTTTGAAGGGTCACTAAATGAACTGTTGTAACTTGAGGACCCCCTGTATCAGTCTTAACCCGCACTTTTAACATTCAGCCTTGCCTTTTCACACCACGATCTTAAAGTCATGTTTCTCAACCTTGGTAGCTTGAGAACGGGTGGACTTCAACTCCCAGATGTCTCCAGTTTAGCCAGGCTGGCTGGGAAATTCTGGGACCTGAAGTCCTCCCATCTTCAGGTTGACAAGGCTGGCGAACCCTGAAGACACCAGAAGTCCACCACCAGATGTCCACCACCAGAAGTCCAGATTCTCTCAGGGAATTGCAGTTTTTAACCCAGCAAGCGATAAAGTACCCAATGGAATTAATGACATTTATTTAGCTGGATCCCTCTTGAGTGACAGGACACCAAATGGACTTTTATCCTTTCTGTGCCCATTCTTGACTCTGATGCCACCTTCTTTGGGGAATGTAGCTTCTGACAGGCTGGGCAAACACCCAACGTGGCTTTCCCCACCTCCAACATGTTGTTGTTGTTGTTAATTGCGAAGTCGTGTCTGACCCATCGCAGACCCCATGGGCAACGTTCCTCCAGGCCTTCCTGTCCTCTACCATCTTCTGGAGTCCTTTTAAGTTCACGCCTCCTGCTTCAGGGACTCCATCCAGCCACCTCCTTCTCTGTCGTCCCCTTCTTCTATTGCCCTCAATCTTTCCCAGCATTAGGCCCTCTAACATGTCACATCCCAAATCTGGATCACGTTGAAAGCCGTGGGACTTCCTTTATGAATCAATATGGGAGTCCGGTACAGATCGAATCCATTGTTTCCCGAGAATATAGGCACCCATTCAAGGAAGACTCAGCCAGCTTCAACTGAGCCTTTCTTCCAAAGAAGGAGAATGGTGGAGGATTTGTAATCGGCCATATTTCTAAGGTAGGTTTCTGCCACCTCCTGGTGGTGGTGATGATGTTGGTGATGATGTTTATCCATTCATTTCTGTCCGATTCTTGGCAAATTTATAGGCCAGATCTCTCCACATCTCCTGATTTTGCACTATTCCTTTGAGTTTTTTCTATGCTTTGGTTGGGGTCAGCTTTGAGGGTGCCCATCTGCCACGGTGATCTCCCTGCCACGAAAAAGCACTGCTGGGGGCACGGAGAAGTAATTTTCAGCAATAACTTGGGCTCCTTCTTCCCAAGGAGTTAGCAACTCCATTATTACTTTTTTTATTTTTTATTTTTGGCCATGGAATCCATAGCCAAACCAGTTTCCATCCTCTGCGTGATGGTGGTGCTGCAGCTGTAAACGAAGCTTCCCAACCCCACCTTTTTTCAATGTCACATTGGGTCCTGAAAGGTGCTGGGCATGTAAGACCCCAGTGGGGAGCCGTGGAAGGGTCTGCATTGTGAAAGACCACAAAAGCTTGGAACAGATGAATGGAATGAAATGGAATGGAATGGAATGGAATGGAGGAGAGGAGAGGAGAAGAGAAGAGAAGAGAAGAGAAGAGAAGAGAAGAGAAGAGAAGAGAAGAGAAGAGAAGAGAAGAGAAGAGAAGAGTAGAGTAGAGTAGAGTAGAGTAGAGTAGAGTAGAATAGAATAATGGAATGGAGTAGAAGAATAGAGTAGAGTAGAGTAGAGTAGAGTAGAGTAGAGTAGAATAGAATAGAATAGAATAGAATAGAATAGAATAGAATAGAATAGAATAATGGAATGGAGTAGAAGAGTAGAGTAGAGTAGAGTAGAATAGAGTAGAAGAGAATAATGGAATGGAGTAGAAGAATAGAATGGAAGGGAAGAGAAGAGAAGAGAATAATGGAATGGAGTAGAAAAATAGAATAGAATAGAATAGAATAGAATAGAATAGAATAGAATAGAATAGAATAGAATAGAATATAGAATGGAACAGAACAGAACAAGAATAGAATAGAATAGAATAGAATAGAATAGAATAGAATAGAATAGAATAGAATAATGGAATGGAGTAGAAGAATAGAATGGCATGGCATGGCATGGCATGGCATGGCATAGAATAGAATAGAATAGAATGGGGGAAGGGCACTATCCTCTAACCTCCCCTCCATGGGTCTCCAGGAAGGCTGAAATGCAATGCATTGGCCCTCTTCTAACTGCTGCGCCACCACGGCTCAAATACTGCACAGGTGTTTACCTTTCTGTTTGCTTCCACCGGATCATGCTCTTCTCCCTCGGTGTCCATGTGGGCTTGGCTGCTGCAACCTGGCTGCACATCAATGAAGCTCAGCCTGCGTCTCCCTCACCTGTTGACTTTAGGGCTCCTGTGGAAGTCCTCAATTATCCCTTTCTTTTAATCCCTCCCATGGCTTCCCTGCCCCCCACCCCCCCTCCTTTCTTTGATTTTGTGAATGGCAGAGGAATGCCGTGACTAACCCTTGGAGCAGCACAAAACGTGGGACCTTCTCCAATCAAAATAATTATTAGCCGTGTGAAGCAGAAAATCAAGCCGGACCAGGAATAGCGGTAGATGCTAAGAGAAAGGAAATTAAACACACCTTTCCTTCTTCTCCACGTGAGTTATGGCACGGGCACTTATTTATTTTATGTTTTTTTTTATATATGTACATAAATGCGCAGCAAAAAACTCGTAAATCATAGTCACGTCACCGCAGGATGCTGCAAAAGTGGTAAAGGCGAGCTGGCTACCGAGCGCTCAAAAGGCGGTCACGTGACCATGGGGTGGGGGTGTGGTGGGTCAGGTGGGGTGGGTCAGGTGGGGTGGGGTGTGGTGGGTCAGAGATCAGAACTTCGAATCAGACCGTAGCGGCGCTTCCAAATAGAGTGAGCTGCGGTACAGTTTTGATCTGTCTCAATTGGCTCAGAAGTTTAGATAAGATGAACTGTCAAGATCCAGCCAGTTTCTCAGTTTCCTTCTGTATTTCCTCCATTTCAGCTTGACCAATACAGGCGACCCTCGACTTACAACAGTTCATTTAGTGGCCGTTCAAAGTTGCAACGGCACTGGAAAAAAGTAACTTATCACCGTTTTTCACACTTACAACCGTTGCGGTATCTCCCTGGTCACGTGATCAAAATTCAGCCGCTGGGCAACTGACTCGTATTTATGACAGTTGCAGCGTCCCGGGGGGGTCACGCGATCCCCTTTTGTGGCCTTCTGGCAAGCAAAGTCAATGGGGGAAGCCCGATTCCCTTATCAACTGTGCTACTAACTTAACAACTGCAGGGGTTCACTGAACAACGGGGGCCAGAAAGATCATGAAAAGGGGCAAAATTCACTTAAGAGCCATCTCGTTTATCAACAGAAACGTTGGGCTCAGTTGTGGTTGTAAGCCGAGGACCACTTGTACGTTTTTGTTCACGTTTCGTTCTACATTGCCATTTTAGATGTACATTTCATTATTTGTATGCGTATAGCCCTATTTTAGGCCAGGGGTAGGCAGCCTTGGCTCTTTTATGACTGGTGGACTTCAACTCCCAGAATTCCTGAGCCAGCATGGCTCAGCATGGCAACCTCTCCCTTTCCCCTCAGCGTGGCTGGCTCAGGAATTCTGGGAGTTGAAGTCCACGAGTCATGAGGGGGCCATAATTCCCCCATGCTGGCTCAGGAATTCTGGGAGTTGAAGTCCACCAGTCATGAAGGGGCCATAATTTCCCCATGCTGGCTGAGGAATTCTGGGAGTTGAAGTCCACCAGTCATGAGGGGGCCATAGTTCCCCCATGCTGGCTCAGGAATTCTGGGAGTTGAAGTCCACCAGTCATAAAAGAGCCAAGGTTGCCTATCCCTGTTAAATCTAGGCTTTTGTTGAAGAGTGTAATAGTGGTGTAACAGGAAGTCTGCAACTGCCCCAGATTGAACTAACTAGGTATCCACCCATCTGGTTTAAGGATACACCAAAGGAAACGTCGCAGTGTGACCTCCCTATTTTGGGGTGATTCAATCAAAGGGACTCTTAGCTTGCACCCCAAGAGTCCCGAACACCCCACAGCTCCCTTGTGCCATAAAAGCCTTCTAACAAATTAAACCGCGATGCTCAGAAGTAGACGAAGAAAGTGGGGAGCGTCTAAGAGTAATTACAGGGTGATTCTTGCGGATGTTTTAATGTTTAGACTGCCATTAAGTCCAAGGAGGGTGTTTCTCGTCTCTCGGTTACCTTCCGCTTTTCTTCAAACCACACAGGTGTGCTGGGCTGTTGGGAAAGCACCCCAGTTTCCTGCAGTGTGTTTGCGTGGCCAGGATGTACCGTCACGGAGGAAGTCAGAAAACACAATAACTCGGTTGGCCCAAGCTGCACAAAGGCTTCATAGGATCAGAAAGACCGTGGTTTAATGCACGCTTCTGTCAAACCACCTCACATCCTGGCTCTGTTTGCAACAAATTTGGTGACGGAATGATTACAAGGAGAAGGCAAAATGGTTTGCTGGTTATTCGGGGTAATCGCAAAACGGAGACATGAAGGACAGCAGATTCTGCAAAAGATTCAGTTGTGCTGGGGGAAGTAGCCCTTGATTTACAAACATTCGTTTAGCGACCGTTCAAAGTCACACCAGCACTGAAAAAAAAATGACTTACAACTGGTCCTCACACTTACAACTGTCACAGCAGTGATCAAAATTCACATTTCAGCAACCCCCTTTTCAGCTCGCCTGATTTCCATTTGTGACCTTCTCAGACAGTTTCTGGCGAGTAAAATCAATACGGATTCATTTAATGACTGCAGTGATTCAATTAACAACCATGTTTTTGGAAATTCAGTCATCCAGATCGTGGTTGTCCCAAAGGTGCTTTTTCCAAAAGTAACTGGACTTTTGTTGTTTTTCCTTGAAGACCTTTCGTTTCTCCTCCAAGAAGCTTCTTCAGTTCTGACTGGACTGTCGTAGTTTTTCCTTGAAGACCTTTCGCTTCTCATCCAAAAGCTTGTTTAGTCATAAATCAAGGACTGCCTGTACTGGAAACATAAGCTTGTTTGTTTGTTTGTTTTAAAGCATTTTGAAAGCATCCCTTAAGTGTCCTGGAAGAGCATTCCAAGCATAACAAATTGTAAAAATTGCTATGCCTTATTTTTGTTCATATGAGGATGGCTGAGATCCTGGAGCGTATCTGGTTTCTCCTGATTTTTAGTTTTGCATTTGTAATATTTCTTTTTAAGAAAAAACAGCTGTTTGGTCCTGGGAGGTGCGAAGGAATCTGTGAACCATTTTTTTTTCCAAAGTAGGTTTTACTTACATATGAATCGGATGTTGGAAAAGAAAAGGAGGGCTCAGAAACAAAGGCTGGGAACTCAGGATCGTCAGTAACTGTGTTGGCTGGGGATGATGAGTTCTGTAGTCAGAAGAAACTGGAGTGAAGACGTTGTTTCAACATTAAACTCCTTGGTTTTAAACTCGCTGCACCCAATTGTCCTTAGCAGCAGTTACTAAAACAAAAACAAAAACAACTATAAATCAACTATAAAATTTGAAGTATTTATAAGTGTCTCATTTGGCTCCGTCTTAACTGAGACAAAATCATTAAGGAAATTAAGTTAAGAACAATGCCCAATTAGCATAGCTTCACCCTTTCTAAATAGGATAGGCATTAAAATGAAGCAAACCAACCAGGCAAGCCCGTTTTGATGCTTCTTTCAATTACAATGCCTGGATAAGGTCACGCAAATGAAATGCCAGATTTTGCTGGACTGACCAGCTTTAGTCGCATTTAAATCGCTTAAGTTGGATTCTTTTTTTTTATTTTATTTATAATACAATTAAAACAAAAATGGACATACGTGGCATTCCAGAGTAAATATTGCTAACAATTTGTTTCTCATGATACAAAAACTTAATACATCATCCTTAACCTCTATATAAACCTCGTTCTTCTACACAATACAATTATATATACAGTTATATGTACAATTATGTGTATGTTTCAATCCTATCGTTAGCTTAAGATCCGAGTGGTTCTCCTTGATTCATACCAGCGGTAAAATTTGTCCCAGATTTCAAAATATTCCAGTTCTGTCTTATCTTTCATAGCCATTGTAAGCCTGTCCATCTCTGCACATGATAAAATTTTATACAGGATTTCTTCTTCCATTGGAATTCCCTTATTCCTCCAATTTTGAGCATAAACCAATCTGGAAGCCGTTAGAATGTGTAGCATCAAATAGAGTACGCCTTTGTCATACTTCTGCGTTGTTATACCTAATAGGAAAAATTCTGGTTTTAACTCTACCACTCGCTCTAGTATTTCTTCCAACCATTCTTTAACCCTAGTCCAAAAATCACAAGCTCGCGGACACTCCCACCACATATGATAGTATGTTCCAATTGCCAGATTACATTTCCAACATTTAGAAGAAATGTTGGGACCCATTTTAGTTAATCTTATGGGCGGGAGATGCCATCTGTAAAACATTTTGTAGAGGTTTTCTTTGTAAGAGGTGGCCAGAGGAAGCTTCTTATTCCTTGCCCATAATTCTTGCCAAATGTGCAGATCGAAGTTTAAGTTGCTGTGATCAATTTAAGTACTGTTATACAGGGAGCCCTTTGTTTAGTTTGAAGTTATGAAAAAGGGACTTACAGCTCGTTTTCACTGTTGCAGCATCCCCAAGTCACGTGATCAAAATTTGAGTGCTGGCAACTGGCATGTATTTGCGACGGTTGCAGCGTCCTGGGGTCCTTGTGACTTTCCCATCCAGCTTTTGACAAGCAAAGTCAAGGGGTGAAAGCTGGATTCATTTAACAACTGCACGATTCACTTGTTTGTTTGTTTTATTCGTATCAGAGGCACCACAATGAAAATAAGGCAGGCTATATGACGTAATGTTTAAAATATAAAATACAAGATTAAAATACAAATCGAACAGATCTTGCGTCTATGGAGATTCTCAGTCAGCCACATTATGGGTGTCCCAAATGTGCTTTTTCAAGTGGCAACTGGACTTTTGTTGTTTTTGCTTGAAGATGTTTTGCTTCTCATCCAAGAAGCTTCTTCAGTTCTGACTGGACTTTCGTTGTTTTTCCTTGAAGACCTTTCGCTTCCACTTCTTCAGTTCTGACTTCAGTCCAGTCAGAACTGAAGAAGCTTCTTGGATGAGAAGCGAAACGTCTTCAAAGAAAAACCAGAAAGTCCAGTTGCCTCTTGAAAAAGCAACTTTTGGGGAAATCTTGCCCAGAAACTAGAAATATTAATTGTGTTCCATCACACTTCCAGGAGATCCTCAAGTGTACACTGATCAGGAAACAATGGGCAGGTATACTTATGTGGTTGTCTGCATATCACTACAATCACAAACAGCAGAAGCAACCGGATAGCCTCATTTGTTCAGAGTGTCTCTGGGACTTAATTGATTGTTGTATTTAGAAGATGATGGCTGGCTGGGGAATTCTGGGAGTTGAAGTCCGACCATCTTATAATAGCCCACGCTGAGAAAACACTAATCCGGAAAGACTTGTTGAAGGAAAAGTCTTCATTGTGGTTCAGTCCAAGCCGGGAATAAACAACGTGGCAACTGCTTTAGAAAGAAGGTTGCAGTTTATTGAAGAGGAGAGCCAGACAGAAAAATGGCTCTGGAAGAAAAGAGAGAGAGCCCAAATAGGGAGTGGGTTTTTATATCCTCTGGAGCCTTTTGCTTGGAGTTGTTTCCTGTTCCTGTTTGAAGCTTTGTATTTCCTATGTCATCTATTCTAACCTGAGTCTGGGTGTGCTCTTTGGCATCTGTGGGTTAATCCTATTATGTCCTGTCCTAGAGTTTGGGTGGGGTATGTAGATTTTAGGTGTCTTTGTCTTCCTAAGCTTCTAGCTGGAGGGCTCTAACTTTCCTGAATGGATTATCACAACTGCATTTCTACAGCTGGTTTCTGCTTGGGGGAGGGAGACTTGGGGCTATTAAGAAAAAACAGGGCATGCTTTTCTGCCTTCTTTAATATTTCCTTCTGGGGGGGGATGACTTCCCACAGACTGAATATGTCTTCTGATATCATATTTCTAGCAATTTCATGGACGTCTCTACGCGGTTCACTTTGAAGAGCTAAGCTGAATAGGATCCGGTTGAGAACTTAATTAAAAAAATCTGATTTTTTTTTCAAGGAACCATGCTGTGACAGCCATAGCCACCTCCTCCCCCTATAATTAATGGACTAATCAGCAGAAATTGCTGATACTTGCTATTGTTTTCTTTCGGGAAGACGTTATTATATATGAGTCAATCGGGAAAGCATCCATCATATACTCAATGAACTTTTATGAGTCAATAAATATAAAGCAAGTGGATAAATAAAGCTGGGAGAAAGGCCCATGGATAATTAAGCGATGGGACTCTCCCTCTGCAAGATGGAAAGATGGGAGAAAAAACAGATAAAAGTCTTCCTTGAGTTGAGGTGACTTAATGAATGTGTAGATGCTGTTTTTGTGGGTGGTTCCCTTTGGGTGTTTTGATACAGGAAAGCAAATCCTGTCTGAAGGGTAGCCGAAAAACTCCTAAGAGGAACAGTCATGATCACCTTTTGTGACCTTTGGACAAGCCAAAGTCAATGGGGAAGCCAGATTCACTGAACAAACATGTGGCAAACTTTAACAACTGCAGTGATTGACTTTAACAACTGGGGCAAGAGAGATCGTAAAAGGGGGCCAACAAAACTCACGTAAATTTCTCACTTAGCAACATAAAATTGGGGCTCAGTTGCGGTCGTAAGAGGAGGACGACCTGTATTGGAAGTGGTGGGAAAATACCGACCTTGAATCCCAAGATTTAAGAAACAGCCTTTTATAAAGTTTTGATTGTTGACTTACAGGGTAAAGTACAAACGGTTGCAAACCACGCCCCTTTCAAAGGAAATTAAACTTAATTTCCTGGCACCTTTTCGAAAGTTCTGCTTTTACCCAGAGGGCATAAGAAGCAAACCATCTTTAATCCACCAACTCCAGCAAACCCCAAAATGGCTTTTCAACAGCCCATCTTAAATCCGGTGAGTAGGGAGAGAATTTCCACAGGGAATTTTTCTTTGGGGGGTGTGTGTGTGGGAGGGGAGATTTCCCCTGCCCCCCAATGTATGGTGATGGGCAATGCAGAGCAGAGACTTAGAGACACTGAGACAGGTTGGTCGCCTGAGAGGAGGAGAAGAGAGTAAATGCAGCTCACCCAACACTTACTTGCACCATCTCTCAACAAGGATCAATATGAATAAACAAATTGCTAAGAATGGAGGTCAAGGATGGGAGATGTTTCATTGTCCTCAGTTGTGGGTCAGCCTTCAGTCTGAAAGTCAGGGAGAAGGAAAGAAGGAAGGAAGGAAAAGAAAGAAAGAAAGAAAGAAGAAAGAAAGAAAGAAAGAAAGAAAGAAAGAAAGAAAAAGAAAGAAAGAAAGAAAGAAAGAAAGAAAGAAAGAAAGAAAGAAAGAAAAAAAGGGAGGGAGGGAGGGAGGGAGGAAAAAGAAGAAAAGAAAGAATGAACGAGAAAGAAGGGAGGAAAAAGAAAGAAAAAAGAAATGGGAGGGAAAAAAGAGATAGAAAAAAGAGAAAGAAAGAAAGAAAGAAAAAGAGAAAAAGAAAGAAAGAAAGAAAGGGAGGGAGGGAGGAAAAAGAAGAAAAGAAAGAACGAAAGAGAAAGAAGGGAGGAAAAAGAAAGAAGAAAGAAATAGGAGGAAAAAAAGAAAGATAGAAAAAAGAGAAAGAAAGAAAGAAAAAGAGAAAAAGAAAGAAAGAAAAAGAAAGAAAGGGAGGGAGGGAGGGAGGGAGGAAAAAGAAGAAAAGAGAATGAAAGAAAGAAGGGAGGAGAAAGAAAGGAGGGGAGGGAAAGAAAGACAGAAAGAAAGAGAAAGAAAGAAAAAGGAAGGAAGAAAGAAAGAAGAAAGAAAGAAAGAAAGGGAGGGAGGGAGGAAAAAGAAGAAAAGAGAAAGAACGAAAGAAGGGAGGAGAAAGAGAAATAAATGAGGGGAGGAAAAGAAAGAAAGAAAAAAAGAAAGAGAAAGAAAGAAAGAAAGAAAGAAAGAAAGAAAGAAAGAAAGAAAGAAAGAAAGAAAGAAGTTGTTCCAATGGGGTCTTTCCTGTGAAAGCAAATTAAGCTCTTACAGGTGTTTCCTGCAAATGGTAGCAACAGATTGACCCTGTTTTGCCTCAAGCTAAGCAGAATTGAACCTGGTCTGTCCTTGGCTGGACAAACATTTGGAGACACCCCGTCTGTCCGTCAGACAAGGGTCGTTGGAAAAGGCATCTTGACAGAAATGTTTTTGTGAGCCTAATTTTATTTCCAAGCATCGGGAGGGTCCTAATTCTTGAATCGGAAACCGTGTTCATGAAGACTAAACTTAGGAGAATAAAGCAGCTTTTTTTAAAGTCAAGGGAAGTGGTTAGCAGTGGTTTAACTCTAAGCCATTTGCTATTTCCTGCTTTCTTGCTATCAACCACGCAGGAGAAAGTGGGTGTCTGAAGTCGATTCTGACCCACAAAAACACATTCCAGCCGAAACCTGTTAGTCTCCAAGGTGCCCAAACCGTCTTGCTCAACCGTGGCTGCTGGAAGATGGGTGGACTTCATTTCCCAGAATTCCCCAGCTCGTGTTAAAAGCTTAAGCCTGAATCTCGTGTCTCGACTAAGTCCCCTCTCCACCACCCCGGTTGAGCTTTGCCCAAGCAAGCAAACTACAGATAGTTCTCAACTTATGACCACCCTGTAATCCAAAATTTCCATTGCTAAGTGAGACAGTTCTTAAGGGAGTGTGGACCTTTTCTGCCACCGTTGTAAAGTGAATCACTGCAGTTGTTAAGTCAGTCACACGGTTATTAAGTGAATCTGACTTCCCCGTGGACTTTGCTTCTCAGAAGTTGCAAAAAGGGATCACATGACCCCAGGATATTGCAACTGTCACAACTCTTAGTCAGTTGCCAAGTGGCTGAATTTTTGATCACGTGACCCTGGGGATACTGTGATGGTTGTAAGTGTGAAAAACAGTCATAAGTCCCTTGTAACTTGGAACGGTCACTAAATGAACCATTGAAAGTCGAGGACGACCTGTACTATGACTTAGTGTGGACTCCAGTTTCTGCTATTATTTTTAATTTCATTGTATCGGCTTCCTAGGCGTAAAGTCCTAGAGATGCTCTCCCAAAATTGACGGGGAATTTGAACGTCAAGGTGGAAGATCTGAAGGTTCTCAAGGGGGTGATAATATCCATAGCCAGAGAGATTGAGGCTGCAATACAGAGAGTCCTCCACTTACAACTTACCATTCATTTAGCAACCGTTCAAAGTTACAACGGCACGGATGTCCCTCGCAGCCTCCCGGTGGTCACGAGATCAAAATTCAGGCGCTTGGCAACTGGCATGTACTTATGACGGTTTCATCCTCTTGGGGGTGACATGATTGCCCTTTGCAACCTCCCATAGACAAAGTCAGATTCATTTAACGACCACATGACTCACTTAACAACTGTCTTGCTTAGCAATGGAAATTCTAGTCCCAATTGCGGTTGTAAGTCAAGGACCACTGATCAATGGGCTTAGGGCACAGATCCGAGTATATTTGAATTCCGACACAGGAGGTGATATTTTTTCCCCTCTCCTCTTTATCCCGCAGTGCGTTCCCTTTTGCAGCTCTATTTTTGGGGGTCTCAGCGAAGGAAAAATGATTGTGATTCAAGGTTGCGTCTCGTTCTCTGCCAAAAGGTTGGTTAAATCTCGATTGCGGTTAAATCTCGATTCCTTTTATTCCAGTTTCACCTCCTGCGTTGAAGCCTATTATTCTTTCACCCGGCTGGCTGCACTGCAGGGTGTTTTCGTTCATTTTATGGTTTCACGATCCCTGCTTTTAAGGAAGGAGAGGGACTGAAGTCCAAGGGCCGAGTGGCTTTGGAACCAGAGGTTTCGATCTTGCCCAGAGAAAGCGCTAACATCACATGCACAACCTCGCTGGAGCAGCTCAAAGTCCATTTTAATCCAGCATTTTGTTTCTTATCATAGAATCCTGCTGACCTGCAAGGTTATTAGGTCCAATCCCTGCTTCCTGCAGAGTCAGCTAAGGGAGATATGTCTAACCTTGGCAACTTTAAGACTGGGGACTTCAACTCCCAGAATTCCCCAGCCAGCATATATATATATGTGTGTGTGTGTGTGTGTGTGTGTGTGTGTATGTATATGTATATGTATATGTAAACGTTTGCTGTTATTTTAAATTCACTGGGTCTCTGTGTATTTTAAAGAACTGTTTGTGCCTCAGTGTTCAATTGATTTGGGATTGAGTGTGGCAATTTTCCAGGCCTGTGTGTGTGTGTGTGTGTGTGCATGCTTCTGTAATGCCCCTGCTGTAGATCATTTTAGAAGTCAAAGGTGGAGCTTGAAGGGCATATATTCAGCCACAGGGCCTTTGGTGTTCCAGATTCTCCGTGAACTTGGTCTGTGCGAATGGAGACATCGCCTTCCATTTCAACCCACGATTTGATGAGGGCAACGTCATTGTCTGCAACACGCAAGAAAAAGGCTGCTGGGGATCTGAGGAACGGACCTCCAAAATGCTCTTCCAGCCAGGGGTCTCTTTTGAAGTGATCATCAACATCAGGAGCTGTGGTTACCAGGTAAGGCCAAGAGCGGAAGGCTCTCTTGTGGACCTCTGGACATCCGTGGGGCCCTTGGCGCTCTCTGAGCTTTCTTGCAGATATTTCATTACCAGGTAGGTCATGCCATCAATGTTAATGAAATTCAGCTCAGGGAGTACCAGGATCCCCACAATTGTAGTTTCTTCTTCTTCTTCCTCCTCCTCCTCCTCCTAAACCCCACTCTGTCCTAGCACTGATGATGTTACCTAGTAACTGTGGGCTCACCAAGGAGCCCACAGTTCTCCTCCTCCTCCTCTTCTTCTTCTTCTTCTTCTTCTTCTTCTTCTTCTTCTTCTTCTTCTTCTTCTTCTTCTTCTTCTTCTTCTTCTTCTTCCTCTTCTTCCTTCTTCTTCCTCTTCCTCTTATTCCTCTTCCTCTTTCTCCTCTTGTTCCTCCTCTTCTTCTTCCTCCTCCTCCTCCTCCATTCCACAACCACCCCTCCCTTCTAGCATTGATGATGTTACCTACTGTAATTGGGTATTGAAAGTTCTGCAAGAAAACCACTAAGCTCAGAGAGCGCCAAGGACCCCCATTTCAGCCCTGAGCTACGAATATTCTCTTCCTTTGATATCCCCCAGGTGGCATCAATTTTTTCTCTGTTGCCCAGGTAGCCAAGCCATCATGTGATTTGTTCTTGGCTTAGGAAGTTGTGTGAATGCATAACTTCTGGTTTGTAGACCATGGTTTATGCAGGGATGGCTATCTTCAAAGCAGCAGGAGGGTGGGGTGCCAGTATGGATAGGGGTCACAGTTAGATGGCTGCCCTGGGACAGCTGATGGGAGTTATAGTTTAGTGCATCAGAGCGCCTGGTTTGAAAAGGCATCTGGAATTGCGCTAACTGTGGCGGAAGCTGACCTGAAGTCTCATCTCTTCTCCTTGTCTCTTCTCAACAGACAGACGTTTAGGAGAGGAAGTTGCAATGGTCACACACAGAGAAGACCTGTGGCTCTAGAGTCTAGACTCCAGACCATTGTTTCTTAACCTCAGCGACTTTAAACTATAAGGACATCAATTCCCAGAATTCACAAGCCAGCATGTTTTAAGACGTGTGGGCTTCAGCTCCCCAAATACCCCACTGTCACTATCAATGGTGAAAAAGTAAGGTTCTATATTTAGGCAAGAAAAACCAAATGTACAGGTATAGTATAGGGGGTACCTTGCTCAATAGTAGCAACTGTGAGAGGGATCTCGGAGTCCTAGTAGTGGACAATCACCTAAATAGGAGCCAGCCGTGTGCTGCAGCTGCCAAAAAGGCCAACACAGTGCTGGGCTGCATTAACAGAGGGAGAGAATCAAGATCACGTGAAGTATTAATACCACTTTACAAGGCTTTGATAAGGCCACACTTGGAATCCTGCATCCAGTTTTGGTCACCACGATTTAAAAAAGATGTTGAGACTCTAAAAAGAGTACAGAGAAAAGCAACAAAGATGATTAGGGGACTGGAGGCTAAAGCATATAAGGAACGGTTGCTGGAATTGGGTATGTCTAGTTTAACAAAGAGAAGGACGAGGGGGGACATGATAGCAGTGGTCCAATATCTCAGGGGCTGCCCCAAAGAAGAGGGAGTCAAGCTATTTTCCAAAGCGCATGAAGGCAGGACAAGAAGCAACGGGTGGAAGCTAACCAAGGAGAGAAGCAACCTAGAACTAAGGAGAAACTTCCTGACAGTTAGAACAATTAACCAGTGGAACAACCTGCCTCCAGAAGTGGTGAATGCACCAACACTGGAAGTTTTTAAGAAGAAACTGGACAGTCATTTGTCCAAAATGGTATAGGGTTTCCTGCTTGAGCAGGGGGTTGGACTAGATGACCTCCAAGGTCCCTTCCAACTTTATCATCATCATTATCATCATCATTATCATCATCATTATCATCATCATCATCATCATCATCATCATCATCATCATCATCATTATTATTATTATTATTATTATTATTATTATTATTATTACGCAACTTGAAGCTGTGTAGACTTCAACTCCCAAAATTCTCCAGTCAGCACGCAGGCTGGGTGAATTCTGGGGGTTGAAGTTCGTGAATGCTGACTGGGGAATTCTGGGAGTTGAAGTCCACATATCCTAAAGTGCCATGGCTGAGAAAATACCAAATCAAGGCGTTCTATGTTTATTTCTTTCTACATATATATTATTATTATTATTATTATTATTATTAATTGCATTTATATCCCGCCCTTCTCCTTTCGGACTCAGGGCGGCTGACAAATGATAAAAAGCTAACATATTACACCTAGTTAAAATTTAATTAAAACGAAATATTTGAGAATGTCCAATTTAAAAGTAATTAAAACCTCTATAAAATCCCCTAGGCCAGTCCCGCTTGCTGGAACAACCACGTCTTGAGGGCGCGGCGGAAGGAAGGGAGATCAGGAATCACCCTGATCTCTGGGGGCAGTTCGTTCCAGAGGGTGGGAGCTCCCACAGAGAAGGCCCTCCCCCTTGGGGTCGCCAGCCGGCACTGTCTGGCCGACGGTACCCTGAGGAGA